AAAAAAAAAAAAAAAAAAAAAAAAAAAAAGCAATGTAGAGAAATAATACTTAGTCTAACATCCATTTGAGGCATTAAACACCCAACAAGACCTATCCTTAAAGGTATTRCATTTAGGTGTCACCTTCCTTGTTAGAAGTATGTGCTTCTTTTCTTTCAGGAAAGAGCGATGATATTCTAATACTGCAATTTGCAGGACACAGTTAACTTCATTTACAGGAACAGTTAAGTTATCCAGCAGGCTAGAGTGACTTAGCTACCTCACACAGCTATCTCCTGGAGGCTCTTGCAAGCAACCAGATACTGCCAGGACATACCTAAATACAAAAGGCAAGCAACCAAAATACACCCTTCTGCTGTTCAGGGGAGCAATTCGATTACACTCAGCCCTTAGCCAACTCTGACAAGGTAGCAAAGCARAACAGATCAAGCACACACAGGACCTCATCAAGGTCTGCTTTCGATCGGCCAGCTTTTACAGCCTGACAAAACACAGCAAACACTGAGTTTCCAACAAATTTAATGAAAGATCCTTTGACAGTGCTACAGTAATCCCATGAGTGTGCAGCTCATGCTGATTTGCAGATCTTCCCACTTGGTATCTCTCTTTCAAATAAATCATTCATTTCTTCCTCCAGGAGCCCTTTGAGAAAACCTCTTAGTACTGTAAGCTCAGGGGTGGGTGGGTTTTTTTTGGTTTTTTTTTTTTTTTTTTTTTTTTTTTTTTTAAGATAAGAGGTATATGCAAGGAATGTCTCAGAAACAACTTTGTTTGGAATATCAATCCTGCATTTCCAAAAATGGGTGTTTTGCACACTAATCTCCATTTCCAAAAATCATACTTCACTAGTGACCAGAAAAGATTTCCTGTAATACAAGATACAGCAAGAGAAATAGTCTGTAGGGTTATCTTTTCCTCAAAGGCAGTTCTTACCCTTTCTGCAGCAAACAGTCCAAACTGATTTCTATGAAAGCTCTACTAGCCCCCAGGCTGCTCTACCTACCATTTCTCCCTTTTTTCATTTTTCATTTCCAGTTCCTGAGCTCTGGAGGTCTCTCCTGTTGAACTAAGGCCACATGACCTTAGTAGCCAACATCATATCTACAAGATGGCGATGGAGTTATTTATTGTGACAGAGAAAAACACATCAAGAAACAACACAGGATACTAAAGCTAGTTAAATTCAAATTAAAGTAAGGCTTAGTAAAAATAATTAACCCATAGAGTCACAATGCAACGCAGTGGCAAAGATACATCTGGTGGCTCCTGACATTTTCAAATCAAGACTGGATACTTTTCTGGGCATGAATGCTTTGATTAAATACAAGTTGAGAAGTAATACAGAAATCTGTGGCAGCACAAACGCTTTATAGCAAAAACTATGTACCGGACTGGACTRGATGATCCAAAACTGATGATTCAAGACCAGGGTGAGTTGGCATAGACAGACTGAACATATAAGATAAATCAAGTCATTCTTCTGCAGCCAGATTCCAAAACGGTTGATGTCTTTCCCTTCTTAGTTCAGTACATATCAGATCTAACATGCTTCAGTGTACAAAAAAAAAAAAAAAAAAAAGTCAACCTCAGCCAAAAAAGTCCTTGGTTTGTATTCAGAAAGCTAACTTTAAATGTTTCTTGCCTATACACATTATAAGCGTACTGTGAATGGCATTGAACACCTTTCGCCTAGGAGAGCTGCTTACCACACAGATCTGTGTACTTCCAGCTCTTGTCTAGTAGTAACAGACATTGGGAAATTAGTTCAGGGGTTAACAGATAATGTTTTATAAAGCTCCTTCCCATTTCCTTTGCTTGATTTTCCTCACGACAAAGATAGTTGTCATGGTACACATCATGCAAGATCCCATAGTTTATCAAAATACAGTATTTTCCAGGCTAAAGTTATTAAAACCAAGCACAGAAAYTGCCCTGTCCTCTCAAAACAATTACAAGTTCTGTAACACCTAAAACCTGTTTTTGGATATGAGGTGTTTTAAAAGTAGCAGGCAAATAGCTAAACAGGACCATGTTCTCAGAGGACTGCATTTATAGCAGGAAACTACCTTTGCAAGTTATATTACTTTACTTCTAGAATGATTTCCTACTTTACTTAAAATTTCCAAATGTTTGATTTCTCCAAACAGAGCAGGCCGTAAGAGTAACCTTAGCTAGGAGACAGTTAACTTCCAGAGGAAAAGGTACTTTCACAGTAACTCACATGGAGGAGGGGGTAACTTCTTAAATTTCCATTTTCTGAGGCCACATCCATAACAGGCAGTGCGAGAACAGCATCCAGGGTCACAGAAACTAAATACGTAACTTTGGGCAGGGGATAATGATTATTCAGAGCAAAAGCTGAGCCATGACCAAAAGATACACTAGCAAAAAGGACATGCAACAGTGTCGCACACAGGTCAAAAGTAACAAAAGGAAAAATCCAGAAGCTTTTGGAAGCTTTTTAAAACTCCTCTATATTTATTAGCACAAGCAACAAAGCACTAGGCAACAAATGCACTAAAAAAAAAAAAAAAAAGAAGAGGAAAAAAAAGAAAAAGGCATAGTAATACTTTCAACAGAAGAAAAGCAGACTGCACTCTACACTGACACAACCATAACAGGAAAAAAACAAAAAAAAACAAAAAAAAAAAAAACAAAAGGAGAGATTACAAGAGAAAAACAGAGAAAAAAATCAGGTGTTGCTAAGCCCCCAGAAAACGAACGACAAGGTAATAAGAAAGTGACAGTTTTACCCATTTTCCATTTATAAGCTGACACTACTCAGCAGGCCTCAGGAAGATCCAGTTACTTGCTCAGCCTACATGCGGCAATGCTAATGCGTCCTCCCCGAGAAAGTTCATGTGTCCTCAGGACGACACTATTCCTGGATTATCCTTGCGTACACTCCAGCCACTGCCGTAGCGAGCGCGTGCAGATCCAAGCRGGATCTGAGCGTCTCTTACCAAGGGAGGTGTCAAACTGGCAGGAATATCACCTAACATCGGTAGCTACATCAAGATCAACACCACCTCCCCTTCGCTCCAGCCCAGATTGGCGGGGTCAGAGCCAAACATCCTCCCCTTCTCAACCCGCTAATGTCAAACGGCGGCCAAAATCATCTCCCCCTTAGCTCAGGTTCCAAAAAGCTGGCTCTAATGTCAGCCCAGTACGTTCTCTGCTCCAGCCCATGGTGGAGCAAAAAAAGACTGTAGTAATAATAATAAAGTAGAGAATATGTGGTTTTGCCTTGATTTTCTAGATTCAGCATGCCACAAACCCAAGCGAAACACACTTTGCCTCCCTGGCTGAACTTAAGGATTGCAAATTCGGATTTCCAGCTGGCTTTTAGGAAACACAGAGACAGAAGCGACCTCCCGCAAGACTGAGGGCGATGCAATACGTGGAGCACGTTGCTCCCTACACAACGCAAATGGAAGCGGGGACGTAGAGAGCACGTTGCTCCCTACACAACGCAAATGGAAGCGGGGACGTAGAGAGCACGTTGCTCTCTACACAACGCAGATGGAAGCGGAGACGAAACCCCCCATGCTGCGCAGCGGGGCCTGGGCGCGATGGGGAAGCGGGGCGCCAAGAGCAGCGGCTCTCACCAGAAGAAGGTGTTGGTGCCATCGTCGTACACCTCGGACTCGGTGCTGCGGCGCAGGCCGGCGCTGTCCCTCTCGGGGCCCGGCGGCAGAGACGGCGGCGACTCGGCTGGCCGTGGCCGCTCGGCCACAGCGGGGACCCCGCCGTTGGGCAGCGCCGGGGGCTGCTGCTCCTCCAGAGCGGCCTTGCCCAGGACGCCGCCGTGGCCGCGCCGCTCGCCGCGCCTCATGGCGCCCGCCGCGCTAACGGCCGCCAACGGCCGTTAACGGCCGCGCTCGCGCCGCTTCACCGCGCTCATGAGGGGGGGGGAGGGGGCGGGGCGCGACCCCGACGCGCGGCCGCACGTCGGCGCAGGCGCACAGCGCTGCCGGCAGGGGGGCGGGGCGCCCGCGGTTGCCGCGGCAACGGGCCCGCCCTGGCCGCCGTTGGGGCCGTTGCTCCGTGAGGCGCCGCCTGCGCCATTGGCCGCGCTCGCCGCGGGCTCCCTGCGTTACCCAGGGACAAAGGAAAGATGTAAACCCCCCTATATATATATAAGTGTATACATATATGAGTGTGTATGTATATACATATATATATTATACACATACATGTATATATTATACACATACATATATATATTATACATATACATATATACATATATACATATATACATATATAYATTATACACACATATATATATAAAGTTTTCTGGAACATTTTAAAAAATGGAATACCCCACGTCTAGAGAGAAAGCTGCAAGTGCTCCCTGTGGCACCCTCAAGCCTCAAGCCTTATTTTAATCTCCACCCCACCACGGGGGCTCTTTCCTGCAGCTTTCCAGACCGTCTTTTTGGCATTGACGTGAGGCTGTTCAGGGAGAGAAACCCGCAGGAACAAAGAAAAGGAAGATCAGGGGGGAAAATAAGGGGGAGAAAATATTAATGTGGCTGTAAATGACCGAGGTGGCCACATGATGGCAGCAGCCGGCTAGGCAGCCACCAAGGGCGTTGTAGGCGCCACATGCAGCTTCCAGCCCTGCTAAAATCCGGCGTTTGTGTATGAAAAATGAGCCTTGCTGTGCTGGCAAAGCCACACGCCTGCTTGCTTGCTTGCTTGCTTCATTAGTAAAGACAGCCCAAGCCTGTGTCGTTGCTGCGTCTGAGTGAAAAGGAGTTGGCCAAAGCCCCCCCCCAAGAAGGTGCAATGCTGTCCCTTGGGAAAAATCAAGTGTACAGAAGCACAGGGATCGCACTGGCTGCTGTAGAGCCCCCCACCAGCTTGAACCGTTCTCTCCTGGCAATGTTTAACGAGGCAGCCCAGAGCTCAGACATGTGCAAAGCGAAGGGAAAACGCGACGATGACGAAGCTGACGCTGCAGCTTTCGGCAGCCGCCACGCCAGGCTCAGGCCTCTTGGGCATTCCTGGACTTTCGTCTCCCTCTGCCTGTTGGCCTGGATCCATCCCGGTGCCTTCAGGCCTTTGGGACAGGTCAAACTCTAGGGAAGGGATGCGCTGTTACCCCCTGAATGACACTTGGGGCAAGTGCAGCAATTCCTTCAGATGGCTGGACAGGATCACACACGCTGGAAAGGAACCCCAAGGTCTCAACACCCCTAGCTAAACAGCCTCAAAGTTAGATAACAGCGCCCTAGCTTTATGAGGGCATGCAGATAGTTGCARTGTCATGCAGGTCTAGAGCAAAACGGCCTTTGGCATCAGCAGCTGAGGGCTGTGCTCCCTGCCTGCCCTCATGACGTAGTGCAAAATATCAAAGCAAACCCCAAAGCAGAGTTGGCAGAGCTGGAAGCAGCTTGAGATGTGTTCAGGCCCAACACAGGCTTACTGCCAGGCCCAGGTTTTTGGCCATCTTGCTCATTCACAGTGTCTCTAGCAGGATTTTCACCAGCTGCTGAGAAACAGATGCCCTACCAGCGATCTCTAAGTTTAAAAGGTTCAACAAGCACTTGCTCAACATCACCTCAACCTCCCAAATGCGGCTYGTCTTTACTCCATCGCTGACAGCAGGTGAATATGAATTGTCCTCTGCCCATTTCATTGAGCAGATTTTCCTGAATACATCAAACTGGACATGGAAGTCTTCAAAATTAGGACAAAAATAAATAAATGTACACAGAAAGGTCCTCCCCACCCCACCTCTTTATTTTCTAGTCATTTTGTCCCATTCAGACTATACAGACAGGCTCCAAATCTTTGCGGTATCTAAGAGTATCTCTGGGAACACATATGAGGAGCTGGCTGGGTAGACTGTCAGCTGGAACAACAAAATATCTGGGCAGGGTGAAGAAGCTCTGCTCAAAATCAGTCCACAAGTGACATAAGGGCACCCAAGGGACCACAGCTGACCAGAAAGCTGTGCTTTCATACCAAAAAAACATCTCCTGAGGGATCCCTCTCCTTTCATGCCCTTCTCAACAGGAAGGCGATGCCCTCTGAATTCCTCTGCAAAAATCCCACAAAGTCTTGGGGATTGGAAAGAGCAAATAAATGTTTTATCACCCTCTGAAAGCTCCTTACCCGGAGGCCTCAAGGTCCTCTTCTAGTYGAGGTGGTTTATCACAGCAAAGCCTTCAGCAGTCTTCTACCCCTTCACACAAGGAAATTACCATTTTCACATCTGGCCGGGGTTAACGGGTCAAGCAAGTGCTGCCAGGCACCTTCAATGCCATCTTGCTTCACTGAGGCCCAACCCCTGCCCAACGTGGCTTGAGCTTATCAACCCGACGTGATTCTGCAGTGGAGGAGGATTCAACCACCTGCCCTGCCCCAGCAGCAACAGCTTGGGCAAAGAGCCAGCCTGCGGGCACAGATCCAYCCTCCACACTGGCCAGGAAAGCCACAAATTTGGGGGGTTTCTGCTGGAAGCAGCTGGCACCCACATTCAATTGCTGGCCCTCCTGGAGAGCAAAGTCCTCCTGTTCCTCCTCGGCAAAGTTTGCAGGTGGAAAAGACAGATATCCACGTGGCTGTCCCACCTACTTATTACCCCGTATCCGTTTAACCCAACAGTGCTCACGTTGCAAAGGTCTTTGGCCTTCTGGCAGGAGATGCCAAAAGCCCCATCAGGGCTATCTTAGGAGACTTCAGTCTCTCCCCATATAAACTCACAGAGAGAAGCCCCACACTCACAAAGGGCTCCAGGGRATAAAGAGGTTCTTCCCCTCTGACCAGCTCCACAAACCACCTTGAAGGGAGGCCCTTCAAGCCTTGYCAACACAGCGATCTGGGTGTGATTTTCAGCATCGCGACACGAGGGTCACGGGGCCCATCAGGAAAACTGAYGTAATTCTGCCCTAGTAAATCCTATCGGCTTAAGAGCGACAAGATTTTTAAGCACAGGGAGGCAGGAGGCCACTGCTATTTGTGTTGTTCAGAGCACGCTTCGAGGCCTCCCTCTTCAGCCCTCAGGGATGGAATAGTTGCTCTTAAGCATTATAAAATACCAGTAGATGTTCCCTAAGTTGTTGATACCGGGTCACAAAGGCCCATGTGCAATAGCACAAGGTGTATCGCACGCAGCAGCAAAACCACACAGCTTTTAAAGATGTTTTCACTAGCTGCTGGGAGGCGAAGGAAGGGTTTCCCTGCCTCCATTGGGCYCCTCCAGGGAGCCAGGTTTCCTTAGCAGATCACGGAAGAGGGAACCAAGGGAGCCAAAGCATTTCCCCCAAGCAGGAGGTTTGCCAGGAGCGGCGGACACCGCCTGCCAAGAGTTGCCTGCCTATCTCAATGGGCGGTACTGGGCTTGCCACTCCTTGAGCAAGGGTGAAGGGCAGCCTCCTCCTCCTCCTCCCRGGTTTCTGTTCCTGCCAGGCAGAGGCAGGAGAGTGTCCCACGCGGAAGCCAGGTCCCCGCTCGGTTCACATGAGACCTCAGCCCGAGGAGGTTGGGRAGCAAACGACGCTCGGTGGCAGAACCCCAAAGAGACCTGCCGAGAGGAGCCCAAGGAGCCTGGGACAGAGACACCCGCCACTTCGCAATGCAGGTAGGAAATAAATCATCTACCACCTTCCAGGACATTGCCRTTCAGCACCCTGAACCACCAGCAGCTTAGAAACACGGCACAATCTGCTCTGCCACGTGGGCCTGGGGCTCCCAGGGGACTCCAGCATCCCAAAAGCACTCAGCTGCTCTTGCCAGCGAGGAATTCTYACTATGGATGTGCCACAAGGAACGGGCCCAGGACCTGTGTCCTGGGGATGAGGGAGAGCTGAGCTATTCACGGCCCCAGTGCTGATGCCAGAGCCCAAGTCAGAGGACCCCCGCCCCAACACACTTTCCAAAGTGAAGACATGAGACATGGGATCTTCAGCTCCTGTAGACCCAGGAAAAGGCACTGCCTTTTAGAAAGCATTCTCGGTAGCATTCTTGGATGTTTCCCGAGGCCATGAAATAAAACAAGGGAAGAGGGAGGATGAGGAATCTTTGCTTGTGTGGCTTGAAAGAAAAGAAGAACATTTGATTTGTTTTATTCAAAAGGCCTCGCAAGCTCCCTAACGTAATTGTGTAGGTGTCTTCTCAATCCRTGATGATCACATTTCTCAGGAAGCTATGACACCAGATGGAAGGGCTCGAAGGGAAGGGAGAAGGGCACAAAGCACTGGTAGGAAGCATCCTCAAGAGAGTGATTTGATCTTCGTGTGGGTGAGAGGAGCCACCCAAAACTCTCCTTGAGCCATGGCTGGAAAGGAAAACAAGGATTCTGACTYGTGGCCAGGCCCTTAGCCTAAGGAAGAACTCCCCTACAGGCAGCGGCCCAAGGGGAGGTATTGGGGTCTCTCAAGAAGGCAGGACCCCCAGCTGCAGAGAAGCCAGGTGCTCTTTGGGGCACCTTCCTGCATTAAATTTACTGCTGCTCACTACGCASGTTACCTCTGTTCCACTTTTCCACCACATGGCTCCTGCTCCAGGAGCGATTAGGAAAATGCTAAACTTCCACTTTCCTCTTTGATAGCAGGGATTAGAGTCCATGTTTTATAGAGCCCCTTCGGAGCGCAGGCGCTTTGCCCGCGGGGAGCACCTGCCTCGTGCTGCAGGTTGGTGCCTCCAGCCACCCYGGCCTGCGAGCGGCTGTAGGGCTACGAGCCCCCCCGTAGCACGAGCCACGTCTGCTGCACACCCGTCCCAGGGCCTAGAGCCCCCTCTGCCTTGAGCTTCGCCCAGCTCATGGGCATTGCAGCCCAGCCTAACGCACTGGACCTGCTGTGCTGACCCTCCAGGAAGCCTCCGTCTGAGGATCCCCCTCTGCAGCTCGAGGTATTTTTACCTGTTATGAATCCAGAGACCCCTCCTCAGGAAACTGCAACCAACAGCAACTCTTTTCCAAGCCTGTCCGCCTTCCCCAGCTTTCAGCCTGCTGCCTCGAATGCAGTAAGTTCAGTGGCTGTGGGAGCACAGAGAAAAGTCTGCCAAGCTGCTAAAGGAAAGCGCAAAGCAACGAGTCCCTCTTGGTGTTCACATCATCTCTCATCACTTCGGGAGTGCCTGGAAGCCCTTGGTGAGGACGGGATGTTCCCGCTGCCTCCCTGTAGAGCTGGTGAGCAAAGGGAGATAAGGGAATGGGTTGTGCCCCTCGTGGTAGGGATCTCTTCACTCTCACCCAAGGATTAGAAGGAAAAGGAGCAGCTTTCCTCCTTAAAAGTGGCTTCTAGAGCAGCATCTTTGCAGGAAGAGGCTGGTGTGTACAGGGGCTGAGAGAAGCCAGC